GCTGTGTGACTTATTAATAGAAGGCCTCGGGTGCCTGTGCCTCTCCCCACCTCCTCCCTTTCACTAATACAACACTTTCCCAACAAGCGTCTTCTCAAACCTGCTTCCAGACCCCTGACTACCTGTTACAGATTCGCGCTACTCTTCTACATGCATTTTGGATTATGATTCTTCCTCTACTATTTGTGTCCTTTCAGATTTGGCCTCTCAGAGAGTGCTGAGGGCCCTGCTTCTCGGCCGTCAGCATCAAATGTCACTTATATTAGCAGGATTACACTGTTGAGTTTATTACACACGCACACACATACGCACACAACCTGCACCAACTTTGTTTTTTGAAACTGTTTATTGAATTTTTTCTTTGAATCTCTTGATGTCTTTCAAAAACTTTCATGATAAAAGCCGTCCTTAGGCATGTGTGATAAGGCCCAGGTATGACGCATATCTGTACATTTGATAAAGGTAACTGCTACCCCTTCACTTACTTCACTCTCTGTCCTACCAGGAATTCCTGTTGGCACTCTGGACAGACACTGTTACCCCCATTTCTGCACAGACTCACAGGAAAAAGACTGGCTAGGGTCAGCCACTGAGTAAGTGCCCAAATCAGGACACAGGCCCTGCTCCAGGGGGCTTCAGGAGGACTATGATTCTTCTACTGGCCTACTCTACGTGGCGTGCTTTCAAGTGCATTTCTACTTGCAGCATTTTATCCCATAGGGCAGGCAGAATTCTTCTATTTTTTTAGAATAAAAAAAAAAGTCCACATTTAGGATTACAGGTGGTTTTATCTATCTTGACCTCTTTCTCACATAATTTTCTACATTACGCTTTATTTGTATGACTCTAAAAATAATACAAATAGAATATGCATAGCCTAAGACTCAATTTTATCTACACAATACAACAGATAAAAATCTTTGTAAGAATTTAGCAAAAGCTTTTTTTCTCTTTTTTCTTGATACTGGGAGTCTAACATAGGGCCTCGTACATGCCAACCAAGTACTCTACCCCTGAGCTACATTCCCAGCCCTTTTTACTTTTTATTTGGAGACAGGATCTTACTAAATTGCCCAGGCTACCCTTGAATTTGCAATCCTTCTGCCTCAGCCTCCCAAATAGGTGGGATTAAGAGGATGTACCTAACATGTCCAGCTAGCAAAAAATTTTCAAAACTTACAAATAAGGTTTGTAAAAGTGAGACACTGTGATTAGAAGTTTATTATAAAAATGAGAGAGAGAGACACTTGCTTCTTTTTAAAAGAGGCATCCAGAGCAGAGTGTGGTGACCCATGAGTGTAATCCCAGCACTCAGGAGGCTGAGGTAGGAGGATCATTACGAGTTTGAGACCAGCCTGGGCTACAAAGTGATTGCAAATTCAAGGCCAGCCTGCACTACACAGCAAAACCCGGTCTCAAAAAGACAAAAAAAAAAAAAAAAGGCATCCAGCAGGGTGGATTGTGAGGGGCTGTGGGTGGGCCTGCACAGGCCTGGTGACCAACCCCAGCATCACCTCAGTCCACAGAGCCTATGTGACTATTTCCCCCTCTACACCTACTTTGAACAAAGACAGGGATTTGGCCCTGGAGTTGACTGACCAGTGTGTGCAGGACCGCAGCCTGACAGGCACGCTGTTTGCTGCTCCACCCTATCCAACTCCTCCTGGAGAAAGCCGTGATGACGTACGGAGTAGACCCGGGCGCGTGCACCTCAGTAAATTCACCACCTCATTAATGTGACTACTTGGGCAGTTTTCCTAACTAAATTCTAATGACAAATATAGATTGGGTACGCTATGTAAATGTCAAGCACACACACTGGAAACATGGTTTTAAAGAAATATGGAAAATCGTTAGGCACGCTAAAAAAAACCCTGTTAGCCAGGACTCATACCCAAACTTTACTTTTTAAAAACTGAAGTTAATCTATATTGTTTTTAAATAAGCTACTTAGATCATTTAAATAGCTTAATTCCAGTCAAAGCAAGTCTCCATTAGGATATCAGATGTTTATGGTGTGTAGTACAGAGGGGAACAATTTGACAGTTAAACAGTTATATACATTTATCTGGACATTTCATGTTTTTTAAAAAGGTATACAGGGGCTGGGGATGTAGCTCAGTGGCTACAACCGCTGAGTTCAATTCTTGGTACCAAAAAAAGGTTGTGAGTTCGATTCCTGGTACCAAAAAAAAAAAAAAAGTATAGAAATCACTGATTTGGTAGTGGCTGAAATGATTCCACATTTTAAAAATCTGTTCGCAGTTTTGAGTTTCTACTGCAGATTGACAATTCGGTGATAGCAAGCTGTCTTCCAATTAATGTTCCAGAAAAATTTTATTTCAAGATTTTCAGAAGGAGAGCCAAGATTTTCTGGGATTCAGCTATGCGAAGCAGCGTCATATTTTTTGCTTTTTATAAATCTCTCATGTCTAGGGTTAATGAGCAGTATGTCCTGAAAACATTTTGTTTGACTTTCTAAAAAAAGCTGAACTCCGAATCTTTAATAGGTAACCTGCCTTTATTCTTTACCAGCCTAATGGATAAAGTCATTACAAAATGTAAAGACACTGACATATTTACATCCTTCCCCTTCTCACAATTATCCAATTTCCCTTGTTTTCTGTCCAGAGAAAATTGTGACTCAAAGACTTCAGAAATATTCACCTCCCAAAGAGGTCCATTTAGTTTGCTTGGCTCGCTTCCCTGCCCCGAATAGCCATCTTCCTGTGCAATCGCTTCCCTGTGGTCCTCAAAAATCATGAGATCATCCTTTGGATGCAGCTTTTCCAATAGCTCCCTCCTTAACCGCCAGACCGTCAGCCGCACAGTCGCAGGCAGCCAGCGTGCACACATCGCTTTCACACCCCCTTCCTCCGTCCCCACACGGAGCCTCTAGGTGGACAGGGCTGAGGTCTTCCTCTCAGTTTCTCTAACACCTAGCACGGTGCCAAGGGCATTCGATGAGCTGCTTGAACAAACAAAAGAAGAAAGCCTAAGGCCAAACCAGTGACCGACATGTGCTCATTCTTTATAATTTCAACATCTTTCTATGCTGTAACAAACAGCTATGTAGAAAATCTCAAATCTGTACTACCACACTGTTTCATTTGAAAACTGGAAGGCACGGTACGTACAAAGTCTCTGATACCTCCTACTTCACCATGTAGTTTTTGGCTTATAAATATCTCACCTCTATGAGACAGTGAGTTTTACAGGCATGGAACTAAGGTCTTATTCAAGCCCCTATCAAATATAAAAGCAATGAAGAATCACGCGTGGGCATCCACTGATTCCTGGAGCGATGCCTAGCAGGCAGAGCTGGAAGTTCTTTACCTTCCACGTAAGAGAAAGAGAGAAAGAGGCAGAAAGCTAAAGAAAGTATGTATGCAAAAGACTATTGCCAGCCCCGAGGGGCGGCACGTGCCTAGAATCTCAGCACTCTGTAGGCTGAGGCAGGAGGACCGCTGTGACTTTGAGGCCAGTCTGAATTACACAGCAAGACCCTGTCTCAAAAGAGAAAAAACAGCAAAGACTATGGCTAAAATTATTGCCAGTCAAAGGGAAATACAGAGGAAATGAAGAGCAATGTTCGCTGTCACCTTTTGCGAAGAAAACCAGGAAGTGAAGCCTCTTTTTTTAACACACTCATCCAGGCAGATCACCAGGAAGGGTTGGAAGAGAGAGAGAAACAGATACCTGGACAGTCAATGGTTAGATGTTTGCGGCCTCAGGTGCTAAACTGCTACTGTGTGAGGCAAAATGCAGGCAGTTAAAAATTGTGATCATTTTGCTGACTTCGCCGATGTTGAAGCTGTCGGTCAGGACAGAATGAGTAAGTACTAGGTCCATTTCACTGTGTTTTGAACCTCTGGGGCGTGAGTCTTTGCCACTTGAGGAGAGCTAGTGTCTCTCTACTCAGTGCTTGGATATAACGCGTACCAAGATCTGCCTGTTAAGGAGCAAAAGCAGTTCTCACCAAGTTCTCAGCAGCGAGTATTGCAGGACTGCTGCAGCTTGCCATGGACTGTTCTTGCTTTCGGCTGACAAGGGCCCCTGTACTTCCACACTGAGTACACCGAGCCTGGGCCTGCTGCTGACACACGGGCTACGTCCAGGCCTTGGTCAGGGCCTTATCACAGGTGAGCCACCGTAGAGCCATTACAGAGGACACACGAGGCCTGTGCCCAGAACAAGGGCTCCTTTTCTCCTCCCAACTTTGCAAGACAAATGTTAAGGCAGCCTGTGTTTGATTTTTTTTTTTTTTTTTTTCAGACAGAGTCTTGTTCTGCAGTTCAGGTTGGTCTTGAGCTCACTTTGTAGCCCAGGGTGGCCTTGAACTCACAACAATCCTCCTGCCTCAGCCTCCAGAGTGCTGAGATTACAGGCATGTGCCACCATGCCAGGCTGGTGTTTGAGAAACAGACTCAGATAGAGCATCTGCCTAAAATGTGTGCCAGAGCCAGAATATGATCCCCTATTTTTTAATACTCTTTTTTTCTCTGGCCCAGCTACCTTTGCAAGTCCAGAATCCGGACATGACAGCTGATACGGAAGAATGCTATTTCCCCTCCTTTAGATGTTAGGAAACTGTAGATGAAAACTGTCCGAGCTCTCCTTGCCACACCCAGAGAGCTCTGGGCTGAAATGCACTTATCTGGGAAGTGGGTGGGGCAAGGAGAAGAACCCCGAAGACTCTTCTCTACCATCCTTCTCCCAAGTGGTCCTTCCCTCTGGGAGATTATAAAGGTAATGCTAACACTGACATTAAACAGGCCCAGAACCCTGCCGCACTCACTCGCCAAACCCTACTGTCAAGGCTTTACGCTGCTGTGTGCTCCATTTCCCCCGCCCTTGCAGCCCCCACAACCATGTTTAGCCAGATCCCATCCCACTGGTCCTCACCTACCCCAGGGGCTCTAGGAGCCGCGGAGCTAGGTCTTCCCTGTGGTCCTCACTGCCTGCCCACACTGCTCTTTGCGCTGCATATTCATCCTCACCTCAAGCTGTACCTGGCTCCCAGCTCCCCTGGGCTGTGGTTTCTGCTGGCTACCAGGAAGATGCAATACCATTTAAGAGAAGAAAGAAATGTTCCACCCTAAACACAAACACACACGATCCTGCCAGAGTTTTCCTTTACACAGCGGGGTGGTTCTGTCCATAAAGAAACATGTATGTTTGCTAAGGGCTCGCTTACACATATATAAGTATGTCCACACCCCAAATGTTACCATAAAAGGTTGACTTAATTGAGTACTTAGGATTGCTTGTTTGATATGCGATGAATATTTTGAGCTAAATATAATGAAGAGTGGTAATTTTAAATAGAATTTATTTGGCAGACTATAAGGAATGGTCAGGACTTTTCAAAAAAGGTCTCACTGCTTTCATTGCTAAAGGAATGCTGCTTCAACTGCACCAAGAGTAACCATGCCAACAGCTTCCTTCCTTGATCGCAGGTATCCGGGCTTTGGAAACAAGGCAAAACACAACTCTACCCATTTCCTGTTCAAATCTTACCGCGCCATCAAATATAATACATGCTAAATGCCTTCTGCTTGCTCCTCAGATAAAAATATACACAATATATACTATATACATAAAACAAACATATTGACTATACAGTATTCTATATATACTCAATATATACATATACACTCTAAGGCTGCCACAAAATGAAAAATGAAATATCCATCTAAATAATTATAGTCTAGAGCTATTTAAGACCTAAGGGGGAAAAGATCGCTTCCAGACAGGGTTACTGAAGGGCAGCAATAATCTTTCAGGAAAAACTGGAGCCTGCTGTAGTGTATTTCATCTTTGAACAAGCCCCTTTCCTTTAGCAGGTAAGGTCAAAATACATTTTCCTTATCAACCATAATCGCTACTGAATAGATCATGGCTTTCCCTGTGCGCTGAGATCCCCGGGTTCATGGGCATCACGGCGATTCTCACCCAGTGTAGCAGCACATGCTCGTGACCCCAGCTACTCGGGAGGATAAGATGAGAGGACTGGGAAAGCATGGGTTTGAGACCAGCCCAGGCAACACAGGGGGACGCATCACAGAACAAAACAGAACAGAACAAAACAAAACAAAACAAAACAAAACATGCAAAACCACTGAGCAACTTAAACAACAGGTATTCTTTTTTCAAGTCAAGACCAGCGAGTGGACCGGCAGCAGCTGTGAACAGTTGCAGGGTAGCACTGTAAGCAGGGACGCAGACAGGAAGAGGGGTCATGCAATGTTACTGAAAATGATGGGTGAATCTACAGTGCATCAGTCCTTTAGAAGGAACATCCAAGTAAAATAACACTCATGGGTACTCAGTGTAGCTGGTGCTGGCACCATGCTAAGATGCGACATGTGCTATCTGATGCCATCTCGAAACAGCCCTGGAGAAGCACCGCTGTGAGCATTCCTGCCTCACTCAGGAGATGGGGCTCAGACGATCAGGTAAGTTCATGAAGCCACCACACTGGTCTGCTGCAGATGCTGTATTTGCATTTGAATCAGATCAACCTCCAAGGCCCAAGCTTTTCCCATGAGGTCCTACCAGCTGTTTTACATGAAACGATCTACGCACTTAGTTTTAAGTAAAGCAGGCTTGCTACTGTTTTATTCAACACAAAATAAACTTTCTTAATTATACTGGAGGAACTCCAGTGTTTTCAAATGAAACAGACAACTGTCTGAAACAGACAACTAAGCAGCGCACATTCAGAAAGCCACTTGGTGCTGAGGGGAAAAATAATGGTACTTGGTGTTCTCCATCAGCAACACAAAGTGAAGGCCACAACCTCATCCTTCAGAGTCCTAAAATTAGAAAGGCTAGTCCCTTGAAAAATGAACCAGGAAATCAGTCATAAAAACCTGGAAATTAAGACGATTTGTCTACAATATGCATTCAATTTTAGTTATCTGTACTGTGGAGAGACAGGATGTTGTATGGAAGATGATTTATCAGCACTATGATGACACCTGGAACCTAAATCGAACCGGTCAGTTAGATATGAGCTCTGTAGCTTGTGCTTTGTTAGAGGAGTTTTCTTAATGCACAATGCAGCAAGTGCTCCCAGCTCTTAAGGCTGGCTGCTGTCAGCTCTACCTAAGCTGCGTGTCAGCCTAGTTGCGGGACTAGATGCTCACATCTCTCTCTCTACCAGGGCTCCTTCCCACCTCTACCTCTGTTATTATTGTGGCCAACAGGAAGAAACAGGCAAGATTCTTAGAACTGTGTCTGCGATGAGCTTGAGCTCAGCACAGTGGCGTGGATTTCCTGCCTGCACTCATGCTCCCAGGAGGCGGCTGGCCACCTGACCCTGCCTTGCACCTGCTTATAAACATATGTACACACCTAGGGGTGCTCACTCACACACACACACACACACACACGCAACCTGCCACTACTCACGGCCTTATGCCCCTCCGGGCCTGGTTGTGGTCTGTGCCTTTGCTGATTGCGTGGCCAAGACCTCTTGGGCACCCCAAACCTGAGATACTTGGCCTACCCTTTTTCCTATCTGCTGTCCCTAAACCAATCTGACTACGTAGGAGGCTCTTCTACTTTTTGAGTTTTACTGGTTGTGTTTATATATAACTGAAGGCCTAGTAGAAGTAACTTTAAATAAATCAAGTTTTCTTACCAGTGTCTAATTATTCAAATAGTCCTGGAAGCAAAGCACCGTTTGTTTTGTTCTCAAGGGCTTGTCTCACTTATCTGAGTCTCTCTAAAGGCACTGATACAATACACGTGGAGCAGTTATCAGGCACTACAGATGCGCAGCTCTTTCAGAGCATCTCAACCCCTCACAGCTGTGACCCAGTAAAGAGGCGTGTTGGAGAAAATATAACATAGTCTGCATGCTGTGGTTATAGAGCCTGCTAGGTCTTCCGTTTATAAACTACAGGGGAAGTTTCACAAGGCCTATTTGTGTGGGTTGGACACACAGCCAAATTTGGATGATGCAGTTGGCTCCAGAAGGACAGGATCATGTCTTCCTTGTCAACTTTTGCATCCCCATCACTCCCTGTCACACCAGGGATCTGGCAGTCCCGCAACAAATGTTTGTTGAAATGAGCGTCTAACTCTTAGGTTAACGTCTTTTGAGTGTATCACCCACAGGGCACCAATCTTCCTCAAGTAGACAGAAAGCTGTTTACCTGCCTTTTACTTTAGAGTTGGTAAATTAACCTTGGTTATTCCTATGCTTACAGGGACATGCATCTACAAGTTCTACTTTCTCCCTGTCTCCTTCGTAAATCATTCAAGTGTATACGTCTGTGTGTGTGTTTGCCAGTACTAGAAAATGAAGCCAAGGCCTCACATATGCTAGCCAAGTGATCTACCATTGAGCTGTATCCCTAGAACTTTTAAAATTTTATTTTGATACAGGGTTTCACTATGTTGCCTAGACTAGCCTCAAACTTTCGATCCTCTTGTCTCAGCCTCTCTGTGGCACCCAGCTAGCTAGTCATTCACATTGTAATGTGTTGTACAGGTCATTTTATGTGACTGTCAGTCATGCTGTCTTCATCTGATTTCACTAGTTACAAGTATGGAAGCCAGGTGTGGTAGCACATACCTATAAGTGGAGCACTCTGGGAGCTTGAGGCAGGAGAATCATAGTTTAAGGCCAGCCTGTGCAACTTAGTGACTTAGCAAGACCCTGTCTGGAAATAAGAAATTTTAAAAGGACCAGGGATATAGCTTCGTGCGAAATGACTGGGTTCATTCCCAGTACCAGAAAAAAAAGAAAAAAAAGTATGGTGACTACAATTTCTTGTTTGTGAAGGAACACTTCCAGAAGTAAAAGAGGCCCTGTTAGTCACTGCACCAGATGACAGGAATAAACGGGGCTTCTCGGGGACAAACCAGCAGGCTTCGTCATGCCCATGGTAAGTAAAGTGAATACCAAAATGAGTTTCACCTGCGTATATCTTTGGGCCTAAAACAAATCATGCTGGAGGAATTTTGAGTCAAAAGTTCAACATGAGAAAGGTGTGGGAGCAGCCGTCTATTTCAGGCTGTGCCCTCGGAAGCACAGATGCCACGTGCAGAGGACGGGAAGATTCTGAGGGCCCTACAGGGTCACTTAAAGGTGAAACATCTGTGGTGACTGGAAGTATAAAGGATTTCTTAGGGAATTAAAAGATTTTTGCCTCCATATAGCTTCACCTTTGTCTTCGTAACTGGACAAGATTCCCGAGGCAGAGTTTTTTAGGCAAAAATTTTCCTGCCCAAACCCTTTCACTGAAATCAAGTTAACAGGAAGACAGAAAGCCAGACTGGACTCAATATTGTTAGCTAACATATGAAACTTCTGGGTAGAAGCATGTATGCCAAAATGCTTTTCTATTTATACCAGGCCTGTTCTTTTAGCCACATTGCTCTATCTTACCATAGGGGAATAAAGGTTAGCAAAATTCATTATACCTTAAAGCTTTATTTTTTCTCACTGATTTTTTAATTTTAAGAGTGGGATTTCCCTTACTGAGAAAATATACTGGAACTAAACAGGTTTGCCAAGATTATTTTATCTTAAAGTTTTTGTGTTATTTTGCTGGGCATAGGAGACCGGAACTTGTTTCAGTGAAAGTGTTTATGCAGGGAAATTTTAGACCCAGAATAGAGATGTTAGCTGTTGGCACACTCAAGAATATTATCTGAAGCTGGGCATGGTGATGCACGCATGCACCTAATCCCAGTATTCAGGAAGGCTGAAGCAGGAGGAGGACCACAGGCTCAAGCCCAGCCTGAGTAATTAGTGATTTAGCAAGACCCTGACTCAAAATAAAAACTAAAAAAGGGTTGGGGATGTAGCAAAAGCCCTGAGACCAATCCTAGGTAATGAATTTTTAAAATTAATAGTATTATTGGGCAGAAATCTGGAAAATAAAGCCAATGTTGATCTGCGAGAATTTTTACTGATAAGTTCTGACTTCTGGGGAGAATATTTATTATTACACTGTATAAAACTATCTGGAAAACTGTATTATACCTGTTTTGCAAAAATTCAACAATGAAAAAACGAGTAAATTACGTGACAGGTGCTAATATAAAATATGTATGATGAATGAAAAGTAACTTTATTAGTATTTCCATAGTTTTGTCATTTTTAAAGGTGGTGTATATGTACAGAGGTGAATATATTTATATGCATTTTAAGAAGAAGCCCTCTTTATTTACAACTGATTTTACCAATATTTCTAAAACTGCTATCTATCTTAGTTGGCCACTGAAAAATTTTAGAGTCTCAAATTTTCTGTGTCCATGTTCCTTAACAATAGAGGGACATGTAAAATAAAACAAAGTATCATTTTATTTCTTTGTTAAACATAATGAACATGGATACCTTAACCAGGCCATCTAATTTCAATTCAACAAATGCTCCCTGAAAGATAAGCATGGTCTAGCATTTGGCCAAGTACTAGAAGGTATAAAGTTGCTACCAGTCATATCTAAAAATTAGCTCATGGACCTCAATAACCACACTAGTAAAAGCTGGCTCCGTAAATTCCCAACTGATGAAGAAGCCTATCGTAGTCAGTGGATAAAAATTATTTAA